TATATATATATTATATACATATATTAGTATTATATATATTATATTATATATATTATATTATATATATTATATTATATATATTATATTATATATATTATATTATACATATTATATATATTATATTATATATATTACATATTACATTATATATATTATATATTACATATTACATTATATATATTATATATTACATATTACATTATATATATTATATTATACATATTATATATTTTATTATACATATTATATTATATATTATTATAATATTATATATTATATTATATATTATTATAATATTATATATTATATTATATATTATTATAATATTATATATTATATTATATATTATTATAATATTATATATTATATTATATATTATTATAATATTATATATTATATTATATATTATTATAATATTATATATTATATTATATATTATTATAATATTATATATTATATTATATATTATTATAATATTATATATTATATTATATATTATTATATTATATTATATATTATATTATATTATATTATATTATATTATATTATATTATATTATATTATATATTATATGGAGAGAGGAAGGAATCCTTTTCAATTAGCTAAGAAATCCGTTTTGAATTCACAAATCCTCGAAATAATGGGTAGAAAAATGGTCAAGCTAGAACCAGTCAGAAGCATTCATAAAGGTGAGAGTCCGGTCAATGCTAATGCTGGAGATATCGTTGAGTGTGTTAAATAAAAATGTACAAATGTATTATTTATATCTATAATCTATATATTACGAGTACATATGAATAGCGACAACCTAATAGGAACTTAAATAAAACAGATATCAGTGGAGGAAAAAAATGTTAGAAGTAATTATTTCTTTTTAATTTTTGCGATTTATTTTAAAATTGATTTATGGAATATATTTTCATACCATTTAACATAAATAAAAATAAAAATTAAAATTCTTTTGTTGTGAAATTATTTAATGCCAAGGTTCATTATGTTTGTATTGTTTATTGTTTTGGAATTAATAACAATTTGTTTTTATGGTCAAACTTTTGAGGTCTGACGGAATGCACTATGATATACAATTTAATATTTGTTGCATGCAAAATGTATATATATATAAATATATGTTATATATACATATTTTTAAAAAAGTTTGATGTTGTGCCAATTATTAGTAGCTGTAATAGAACATTAAGGAGATATTATGTGGGGAGGACTAACAAATATCTTGACTTATTATTGTATACAAAAGAGTTTTGAATGAAGAGATATAATAACTTCAAAGGGGACTTCGCCTCTACATGATTCAGTATATTAAACAAAGTTAAATAATATTTATTTTTTATTTGCAATTATATATTATAATACCATATTGTTAATTCTTCGCTTTTTAAATTTTATTTATTCTACATACGAGTATTTTCATAGAAATCAATATTTTAAAAAGTTCTTTTGTTGAGAAATTATACGTTAAGGTTCGTTATGTTTGCATTGTTTTCATTATTTTCAGAATAAAAAATTTAAATTTTTTAATTTTTATTTATTTAATAAATAGTAATTTGTTGTCGTGGTTTAATAAGCATTTCAGTTGTTAAGCTACTAAGAATTTTAACCGATAGTTCAGTATGTATTAAATTACCGAAAATTATACTTTTAAATGAAAATAACATAAAAGACTTTTCACAAGTCGCTGATTTTAGATTTTATATGGAATTTGTATGAATATTAAATTTCATCACTAAAAATATAATTGTTAATTCAAATTAAAAAATATACATTTTATGGAATATGAAAAGAATTTGTATAATAATGGAAACGTGTGCTCGTTATTTGATTGTAAAATTGGAAAAAAATGTATTCAACAAAAGGTTGAGTTGTGAAGGCCGTAGTAAGGTGAAAGTCGAGTCCATTTGTTCTTCACATGAATTTCATATATAAGAGATAATTATATATGTATAAGAAGTATATATACAAATTTGTAAGATATAAAAGTAGAACTACGAACAAATATTCAAGAAAGAAAAAAATTATTTATTAAATAATTAAATAAATTAATATAACCCAATTTTAGTGCTTGAAATTTTAAATGAAATTAAAATTAAATATATATATGAAGGTATTTAATTACATATTATAGTATAATAGTTGTAATGTCAGATCTCAAGTGGAATATAGTAATGGATATGGTTCGATGAAGAAGAAGATCGCTATCTGTGTTTTAATAGAAGACAATAGAAAATAAGATAATGTGATTATCCATATTTAAACCTGTTTGGAAGGTGGTGTGATGAAACATGTTTCTTTTTGAGACTTTAAAAGTTAAGTTTTTGAATTTATAAATTTTATTCAATTATAAATTAATAACTTTCATAATTTAAAAAACATAAATATTTTTTTGAAAAAAGGCACTCCAAAAAAAGTACAGTGAACATTGCTATTAGGTTGTTAGAATTTTAGGTAAAATTAGATTTTCTGTAAAATATAAGGGACATTTTAATTACCGTTACTTCATTATTCCACACCTATTATCGTTATACTACATAATACATTCATTAATTATTATGTTAACTATCATTATTTAATTATTCCATAAGTATTATTATCATACTACTCAATACATTTAAGAACAATGGAAAATTAGAGGATATTTAAGGATATGGATCAAGCATTAGTGTACAACTCAAGTTATTTAAATTAAAAGTTTTTGGGATATTTAGAAAGATTTGACTAAAGAATATTTTTCGGATAGGAATCCTTTGACACCCTGTATCTCGGTAATTAATTAAAAGTGATCTATCACACACATATGATTTTTTGAGTTCTTGGGTGTAGGAATCACCTCCCTTAGAGCATCTTGAATAAAACTCCTTGTATATATTATGTGTATTACAATAGCACATACAATAATTTGTTTTTAAATTTTGAATTAAATTTTGTTAACTACGTATGCAATTTATAACCAACTAAGACTTAATCCACAACTGCATCTCTTTTTAAATGCAATTAAATTCAGGTTACTTACTTCAAACTTTAGCCCACCTCCATCAGTATAAAGTTGAAATATGCAATTTTTTAAACCTGTTTATAAACATATATATAAAACCATATACTAGTGTAGTAAATATGTATATTTAAGATATTGCATTTGATTTCTTAAAAAAAAATAAAGTTTGCAGATTTTAATTTGCGACAAAAATTTAAGCTCGTTTCAGTTCAAAGTCGAATGGCTTATTTAACTACATTTTATGCGACTTTTTATACAAATATTATTAAATACGAATATATTCAATGCTAAATATTAAATTGATTTTGTAAGATATTTTTAATTTCACGACTACAATATATAAAGTTTAAACAATTTAAATAATAAAATTATCATAATTTGTTTAAAAAATTTAAACTTTGATTCGTTGAAATATTTCAAAAAATTTATGAATTTATAATTAAATATATGACTTGCATTTTATTAATTGTTATAATTTAAATGAATTACTATTTTTTGCTAATTGATTAAAATTAAATTATGAGAATTAAATAGATTCGGGTACCATTTTGACTTTAATGGTACGTGTACGAGTAGAAACTGGAAAGATTTAGTTTGTATTTAATTAAGTATTAGAATTCAAAGAAAATCTGTGTATTATACACATTCTAAGATATATATTCTAAGTTAAGTAAATAATTTAGAGAGGTAAAAATAGAGAGACACTAATCTTTGCAAAATATATTAATTAAAAAAAAATTATATAAATTATAATTTAACGTCCGTTATGATGGTTATGATGGCTATTGTATTTTATTAGAGAGGTTTCGATGGATATTTGGCAATACCCGAAATAGCTGTGACCATACTAAAGATTGAATTAAATAAAAAAAATATAAAAAGAATTTTTGTTGTTGTAGTTAACTACTGTTCGAAACCTCTTTAAAAAAAATTAGTGAATAATTTTTATTAGATTTCTGTATATTTATACGAAATAATCCTTCTTCTGTCAGTAAACGTGGTCTTATGGTCTCCATTTAAATTATACTTGAATTTAGTTAATTTATAGTTTAATCTTTGTTAACGGATAACTTTAAAAAAATTATTGAACAAATACTCATCAAACCACTATCTGTTTCATCAAATTCACAGGTTTATATTTTCAAAAAGACAAAAAAAATCAGTGCTAGGAAGTTCTTCGTACTAATTATACTAATTAATTAAAACTCACGTGTTTATAATACAAGCATAAATTTTGTTTTATATGTATGTTTGAATGAGAAAATTATTTTGAGATAAAACAACAAAATGTTTATAGGATATTTTTAGTAATATGTATTTGAAAATAACTAAATAAAATTAACACAGTATTTAATTATTAAAAACAATTTTTGTGTGGTTTTTCAATCGAATTGTTTGGGTTATGAAAACAATGAAACAGCAATTTTTTGAAATCAATGAATTTTAAGAGAAATTTATTCAAATATATTTTAGTTTGTTATTAAAATACAAATGTATTTAAAATTGTAGGGATAACATATTAAATTTGTTCAGGTTAACTTAAGTTCACTTCTCTTTAGGGATACTACAATAGTTCTTATAAGTCACAGTGTATTATTCTGTATCTTCTTCTAATAATAATAATCTTATGTCAATTGAAAAAAGCTCGATAGAATTCAAAATTATCTTATGAAAGATTTTTGTACTTTAAAACGTTGTAGACGAAGCTGTTTCACATAGAAGTCGGTTGTCAAGTCCTTATGTCCGATAAATCTGAAATTACCTTTATTTTACATTAGAAAGTTCATACCAAAAAATTATTAGAATTTTTAGTTTTTTTATTCGCTTTAAGAAGGCAAATCAATTTGGAAGGTCTTAAAAAACAACGTTGGAGAACACATTTTAAAGT